TTTTTTTCTCAAGGGGGGGGGGCCCGGGCCCCCCGGCCCCCCCCCCCCCCCCTGGATCCGCCACTGAGCCCACCTATACTTGTTCCAAACAAGTATTACAAATCTAGTTCTTATTTATTTATTCCCGTTTTTTGTTTATCGGTTAACTCAAGATCGGTTGTGTTAATTTCTGTCAATTTTGACACAGTCATAGGTCATTGTCATGAAACGTGACAGGAATATTTTCAAGGTCATCGGGTCATCGTGACGTCATCCAGGCGCCATTTTGTGAAATCACGTTACCCATCATATCTTCATGATGCATAAGCAAAGGTCATTCATATTCATATTACATATATTTCAGGTCAAGGGTCAATAGGTCATGTCATCAAAGGTCACATAAAGGTCATGATGCGCGCGTACGTGCGCGTCAAAATTTAAAAATGCTCAAAATCACTTAAATATTAAAGGAGAGTACGAATCAGGTCATTTTAAGCATTTCGAAATTTTCCGTCCGTACGTGTCCCCGCGCGCGTTGCGCGCGCTCACAACGCGCGTTAAAGGTCAAATTCAAATTTTGTGTACATGATTTAGATTCCTCTTACCGTAAATGACAATTTGCATTAATTTCAGTCACTCTTGACCTTTCATAAGGCCTTGAGCGCGCGTCAAAGTTTAGAATCTGCGCGTGCTGCTATGGGCAATATAATGCAAATTTGATCAAAAACATGCCATTTTAAAAATCGAAATAGCTCTTCAGATAGTCAATTGACCCCCAACTTTTATATCATGATTGGAAAAAGCATGAGTTGGAGATATGATTTCATGTCTCATTTGACCCTCAATTAACTCATGACGTCATCATAATGGCCTCCGAACTCAAAATTTCAATTTGCATATTATGACGTCAGCAGATTTTTGCAAAATTGATTGTATCTCTGTAAATATTGATCAATTTTCTTTCAAATTTTGATATGTTCTACCTGAGAATATTCTCTACAAATGTAGTTACCACGATATATCATTTTGACAAAGGTATCATGGCATATTTTTGCAATTAATGGAGGCATGTCAATTTTTCACATTTTGCGTGTATTCTCTATGGGACATGACTTTTTCTGAAAACTGGATTCTACATTCCCGTCTTTCACGAGCAATATCTCCGTCGTTTTTATCTTCGTTAACGCTGAGCTTTGAGTATGTTGTAGCTGAGACAATAAGCTATCACAAGTGTGCCCTTTATTTTTCGATCAGATGCCGGGATCATGCTCATATTTCACTTACAAAGTGGGATTTGAGAATTCAATTTTCAGTTTACGTGTAATCTCTATTGGAAATGTTTTGGTATATCGGTAACGCACTTGACTTCCGACCTCGAGGTCCCTGGTTCGAGTCCGGGCGTTTCCAACAATTTTTTTTCTTCACTTTTTTTTCTTTTTGACCTTTCACTGTACCATCTCCTTTGAATATTAAAACACGTACAATCGCAAATAATGTAATAAACAACCATATTTACTTTAATATTACCCTATTATCACTTGATCCATTACTTTTGGCGTGTAATCCTTAAGGGAGATGACTTTTTCTCAGATCTGGATTCTACATTCTTGTCTTTTGCGAGCAATATCGCCGTTATTTCGGCTTGATTTTTGTTGATTTTTGAGTATGTTGTAGCTGAGACTATATACTATCTAAATGTTTTCTCATTTTTTTCAGTCTGATGTCATCGTGGTCTGTTGATGATAATCATCAACATCATCATGATCATCATCATCATCATCATTGTAATCCCCATTACTATCAAGATCATGATCATCATGATCATCATGATGATCATCATTGTTTACATGTCTATATAACTTCTCCCTTTCTCAATATAGTAAATATTATAATCTATCATAAGACTTGAAGACAGACCACCTAATTCGTCCCCATGGCGAATTAAATTTCTAGTTTTATTCTTTTCATTATTCTTTTTTAAGTACATGTATTATTAACCCTATTTAGCCCGGGGGGGATGGGTGGGATATATCCCCCCAATATTTCAGGTGGGGAGGATGGCCTGTACAATCATTCCCCCCCCCCCCCAATAATTCATCATCAAAAAAAAAAATTAAGAGAAAAATTAATGAGAGCCCGATGAGAGTAGTTAATGGTTATTACTCGCAAGATGACCATCAATAAATATACACATTTTACTATCTAATTTGCATAATACATAAATAAATGAGACAACCGTATATGAGACAAGAATAAATTCAATTCTCGGTCATACGGCTTTATCAGGAATTGATGAATTTATTCAATTTATTCAATCAACAGCATCATAGAAATGCAGTGCGCCAAATGTTAAGCGCGAAGCGCAAAAGTGCAAAAAAGAAGTAGAGAGTGGGAGAGAGAGAGATCATGAGAGAAAGAGAGGATATAGGCGCATAGCCAGGTGGGAGGAGGTAGGGGCTGTCGCCCCCCCCCCCCCAAAAAAAAAAAAAAAAAAAAAAAAAAAACGCCGGCCAAAAAGAGAGAGAGAGAGAGAAAGAAGAAAGGAAGGGGACGTAGGAAGAACAAAGATTAAGAGTCGAGAACGGTTCAACGCATCGTCTTCTTTCCCTAATAATTTAATGAAACGTCAAAGCTTCCGCGCTTCGCGAGGGAGGGAGGGGTGGACTGAATTTAGACAAGGATTAAGAGTCAAGAATGCCGGTACAACGAATCGTCTCCTTTCTTTAATAATTTAATGAAATGTCAGAGCTTCCGCGCTATGCGCGGAGGAAGGGGAACTTTATTCAAACAAGGATTAAGAGTCGAGAACGGTAAAACAAATCGTCTTCTTTCTCTAATAATTTAATGAAACATCAAAGCTTCCGCGCGAATCCCTGCACCTACCCCCTAGGGAGCGCACTTTGCGCGCTCTGTAAGTGATTTGCACGCTTCGCGTGCTCACTTCCGCCCCCCTAAAATGAAATTCTTGCTACGCGCTTGAGAGGATAATAACCCAAGTTGCAAGCCCATGTGGGACCCTAACAGGCCCCATATTCTCTGAAATGTTATCTTTATTGAGGGTGACTTGAAAAGGTTAATAACTTGTAAGGGAGGGGTGCAACCTGCCACACGCTCCTACCTCTTGGTTGCTTTGATCCATTGCCGAAAATATTTTGGCACCTATTATCCCCCCCCCCCCCCAACCACGAATACAAATCGACACCGTTGATCAGTTGTATTATGCGTATATACATTGATGATACCAGAACAAATTAATGTTGATTATCAGAATGTCATTTTGGAATACCTCTATACAAATACCACATTGTCTTTATCCCGTATCAGTATTAGTATGATCCAATATAAAGCTATTATTCTTTAGATAATTCAGTATAATGCTTTTCCTCAAAAATAGTTTTGCTATTTTTTTAGGGTTGAGACGCTAAGAAATGGTTTCAAATGTACATTACACGAACCCTGAACCATTGCAAAATGATGGTGGTTCTCTCTCTTTACTTTAATCATGCATTATCAACTACATATAAAGCAGCAACCAAAAACTTAGGGTTATCTGAGATAGGTGAAAGTAAGAGTTAAAAAGAAAGTCATGCTAAAACGGCGCTTCACTTCCCCTCGCCCCCTGAAAAAAATAAAATAGATTAGTAGTCCTCCTCTCCAGCATCCCCCTCCCCCCGCTTTAATATCACATTTTCACTTGGCAGCCGAAGGGGTCCGGGGTGGGGGTGGGAGGAGAGGGTTAAACCCCTAACCCCCCCCCCCCCCCCGTAGATCTGCCCATGTTACCATGTTCATGTTCTCAATAGTGACTTTTAGATTTGCGTGGACGTGTTACTTCCTTTTAAGGCACTGACAGTCACATGTGGCGTCCTTTTAAGCACTGGCAGTGCCTTAAAAGGAGGTCACACGTTGCAGTCCACGTTCTCAACGTGCAATTCTAAAAGTCCCTAATATTGATTTACTGGTCGAGGTTCATTATTTGCTGACAACGAAAAACTTCTCCGACCATGTTTCTGCCCTTGCGCGATAGGCCTATAACCACTGCTGACGGCGGCACTGCACTGCAAGCTGAATCGGTAATAATAGGCCTACTCGTAAAACGAGAAATCTTGCACGCTAATCTTAGTTCCATTTCATTGGTTTAAGGTTTGAAAATTGAAACTCAATATTGTAATAAAGTTATAACAGAAAAGATAATCTTTATTATAATTCCACCGGGGCGATTTTTAATTTTGCAATCGCCCCCGTGAGCAACCTGACGGGGACGATTATGTAGCTCACGGGGGCGAATCGCCCACCGCCCCCGTGTATTTTGAGCTACTCTCTATGCAGTCTACGTGCATTGCGCGACCTAGTCTACTCTCAAAGATACACTCATGAAAAACAACCGTGCAGATAAACTAGAGAAAGGCCAAGGTGGTGTCATTAGTTGACTCTTTTGTTTTCGGCATATAAAAGTATGAATGACTGCTTTGATATTCGAGAAATAGTTGTTTTTATACGCTCAAGGGAAGGTTAGAATTGTGCTATTGCCCGAGGCGTCTCTCAAAGCAGTCATTAATACTATACTGTTAAATGAAAATATCTGGGGGGTACCCAACTCAAGAACATAACCGATGCCCTGGTCATGTAATGAAATACTCACAATTATATTGTATAATCTACACAAAAAATTTAGAAGTATATTTCATCTCTTATTTCCTGGTATCATTTTCAATCTTTTTGTTACTAATTCATTTAAATAATTGCATTTTTCCTAATATTACTTTTTTAAATATTCCGGTGGTATTGCGACTAAGGCTATGGCTTGGTTCTTTTTACTCGCCTATTTTACGAGATAGTAACTAGTAACGTTGGCTTCTATGAACGGGGCCCAGATATCAATGGTGTATCTCATAGAGAACCTTCTGACTTCATAGTGTCAATAGCTATGCATCAAGATCTAAAAAATCTAAACATAGATCTGACACAGCTGCAGGCCTGCATTAAGGCAGGATATGGCATGTAGTCAGTGGGTATGTTTGTGTGTACGAGTATTTGATTAATTGGTTGTAGAGCATGTGAGTAATTCCAAATTGTTTGTATTTTACTTTCTTGCATTACCATGTCCGCATAGTGGCCAATGCAGAGATGAAAGTTTGATACAAATTTATTCTGGATATGATATCATTCCTCATGATTATTGTACCCCCAACACGGATCATAGTTTAAGAGTAGAACCTAGTGAATTTTATTTGCAGCTGTATTTGATCTGAGTTAAGCTTACTGCTTTGTATCAACTATTTTCAAAATATAGATTCATCTCTGTAATGTATGAATGATGACGATGTGGACTGTCTTGTGGCCCAGAATGTCAATGATAACGAAACCCGGGATTACCCCATCATTTTCTTCTTCAAACTTTGTTTTCTGATTGTAGGAATGCGGAGGACGAGCATTCCATAGTGGAGCGACGTCTTAATCAACAGAAAGAAGACTTGGAGATGACGATGAGAAGTCTGAAACAACAAATTGAGACTGTAGAGGGCGATCTTACAGCATCACGTTAGGAGTGTTCGGGTCTAAAAAGCTCTATAGCTTCCATGACAGCAGCACAAGCTGGTCATATAGCGCAGTTGGATGCCACTAAGGTAAATATTGGTCTATTATCTACATGTACCTCCTACAATTAAAGAGGAAGTCCACCCTAATAATCAGTTGGTATAAATAAAAGCAGAAAAATAAAAGAAACAAATTGATGAAAAATTTGAGCAATATCAGATTAAAAGCAGGAAAGTCATGAATATTTAAAGTTGTCATCGGTGAAACACAAATTGGCAACACTTTGACATATCGAGCAAGTTCCTCTCCAGTTTGCTCTGTACAGAAATTTCATAAACTTTCATTCTCTTAGTGATAATTGAAAAGTTTTGTTTGATACAGGGGTTGTATAGGAACATATTTGAAATAATTTTATTTAGGATACATGTATGATTGAACATTTTCTTTAAAGGTGAAATTCAAAGAAAATCACAAATATGTCAACTCATGTATCACTAGAAACTGGTAAGCTAACAGATGGCCATCTTACAAGTTTTAGGTCAACTACATATCGGGTGATTTATAAAACTACAAATACAACTACCTCCATAGCGACTCGATAGCAGCTGGGATATACGAGAGATTCGCCGGAAAAATAACGATGTTTTAATGACGTCACTATATGGACCAATACTGCCAAGGCAGACGACATCCCATAAAGAATAAACATAATTGCAAAGCTATTATTTGTCTAATTATTAGTTTAGTGTATATAAATGTAATGGCATGTCAAACCATTCAAAAGGGGATATGACCCGATTCTGATAACTAAAATCTTTTGCTTGTAAATACACAGGATAGGGGTTAATTAACAGTCGAAGAAACCAGACTTTCAAATTGAAAAACCCCCGAATGATAGTAAGGACGGCATTTGTTCCCTCTTGGAACGCAGAACATACCGCGGTGTGTGCAGCTGAATATACAATGGCGTCTTATTCTGTTTACAAGCGACAGACTCCTTTAGTTTTGTATCGCTGCATTTAATTGTCATCAAAACACAACCATGCGCGGGGTTTAGAGTGAGGCAATAGATTATACATTTAGCCTGACGGTAGTGAAGTAAGAGAAAGAACTCAAGAAAAGATGAAAACACAGGCACTGAAAATGTGTGAGATGTCATGGGACATCGTCTGCTTGTGCAAATCATGTCCATACTGTGATCTCACACATCTCAGCAGCGTTCGGAGAGCTCTCCATGTGCTATGCCGGGGCTGTATTTAAGCGTTTTTTAATTTATAATAATCTTTACTTCAAATGCTTCCAAGCATTACATTTTGATAACCTTGTCGAATCAACGTTTCAACTTTGCAATAATGAACATAAAATTAGTTTTTAAATTCAATGAATATCTAATTTATGGTAAATAGAAATTTCTGATTCTGTTTTAGTACAGAGCAAATGGAAGGGAATCTTGCAAGATTCATGTAGGTCATAGAGTGGCCAATTTGTGTTTGAATGATTGTAACTTCAAAAATGTCTTTATTTCTAATTACTGTGAAATTGTTAATTGTATTTTGACTAAATTTGGTCACAGGTAAGTGAGATGCTATCCGGTGATTGCCTTCAAAAAAGAAACTCAAAAATTTGCATGAATAATATTTCTGAAACACATTCTGAAAGACTAGTTGTAGCAAATGAGTTTGATATCACAGTTATTTGATTTGCTATACCGTATTTGCCGCAGCGCTGCATACACTGTAGGCCGCACCCCCAACTATGACATTTCGTAGAGGACAAAAAAAACAAAAACCAAACGGACCAAACAAAATAATCTTAATTTTCTTGTTAGAACACTATTTTTTCTACAAACTGATACCCAAATTTATCAATATTCTTATAAATTTACAGGAAGTTTACCTCAAAAATGATTGTAATCTAGCAAATCTTCATCGATTTTTAAATTAGTACTGCATCACAGGCAGATTTGGTATCCTACATAGAATACCAGGATGCGCAGTTGCGTTGCACGGCAGCTAGCTCCGTTACGGTCCCTTTTACTTTTTAACCATGCAATGGCACATACTTAAATCTAGATCTACCGGTAGATTTTGTCAGAAAAATAAGAAATGAAGTTTATTTTCGTCTTTATGTCAACAATGCAACAAAGAATTGTCGGTTAGATGTGTGGAGTTATTCTAGAAATGTCCTGTACCATTGTATAGTCATTTTAGTCCCATATGTAGGAATGGACGTGCTGTTTTGACCGCTGAATTTTTAGCTGTTGCGCAAAGGCCGCACCCAGACTTTTTGAATTTTCTCTTCCGAAAATACTGCGGCCTTTACGCCGGCAAATACGGTAGTTTACAGTAAAATTGTAAAAACTCATCATAGTATTCCTATCTGATTACTAAATATGAATATAGGATTAAGGTCCAAAAATTGGCATTTCTGAAAAATATAAATGGTCCTGATACTAAAATTACATGTTTGAATTTTATAAACATAATTTCATTTTTCACTGTCTTGGGGACACATGTACATTATAGTATATGTCAACAAACCCAGAGCCATTTAGAAAATCAATGACACTTCAAGCCTAGACATACAGATCAGCAAGTGCAGGGGTCATTGATGCAAAAAGCTGTACTTTTACCCCACAGCAAAGCTTCAGTTCAGTCTTCCTTGGTAGTTATTTGAGACAATTTACAGTGTTACATGGATCTCATTGTGTACATTTTGACAAGTATTCTTTGTGTTTGCTTGCTCTTGTTATACATTTAGCACCAGCTAGAGCAGTCTGTGGATTCTTGCAGACAGAAAGGTAGCAGGATCTCCGATCTGGAAGCAGAGGTGGCGGCGCTCAAGGCTACTGTGGAGGAGAAAGAAGGCAGGATCAGAGAAGATGAAACGATTAGGAGAAAACTCCACAATACCATCCAGGAATTAAAGGTAAATTGAGATGTAAAGATGTATTGAAGATTTATACGTTTGTTCTGCATTGCTTCAAGTTTTTGATCCGGACCAACATGCCATATGCCAGAGCTGCCAACCATTCCGTTTTTGCCGGAATTACTGTTTTTTCCTCCAAATTACGGTATTACGTTTTTTCTTCATAAATATGTTTTTATGCCTCCGTTACGAAGTAGCCGGAGGCATTATGTTTTCGGGTTGTCCGTCCGTCCGTCTGTACGTCCAGTTCTCGTGATCGCGTTATCTGAAGAACCGATTGATGGATTCCTGCCAAACTTTGGTCATGTATGTATCTTGCAGAGCCGATGAACTGATTAGATTTTGGGGTCACGAGGTCAAAGGTCAAAGGTCAAAGGTCAAAGGTCACATTATGTATGCAAAAACAGCTCGTGATCGCGTTATCCGAAGAACCGATTGATGGATTCCTGCCAAACTTTGGTCATGTATGTTACTTGCAGAGCCGATGAGCTGATTAGATTTTGGGGTCATGAGGTCAAGGTCAAAGGTCATGCGGTTCATTATGTATGCAAAAATAGCTTGTGATCGCTGACCATGGCTTCCTTTTTAAGAAAGATATTTGCAAATGTAAAACATGCTTCAAAATGGCCCTTTTATAGCGCAAAATGACAGTATATACGCGATTTAATCGTTTTCTTTTGATTGCGCAAGAAATAAAGATGAAAGAGATAAACCGATGTCAAGAACAGATAGAGAAGCTCAAGCGCAACATAATGATACCTCTTAGAAGTCCATGGCTTCCTTTTTAAGAAAGATATTTGCAAATGTAAAACATGCTTCAAAATGGCCCTTTTATAGCGCAAAATGACAGTATATACGCGATTTAATCGTTTTCTTTTGATTGCGCAAGAAATAAAGATGAGAGAGATAAACCGATGTCAAGAACAGATAGAGAAGCTCAAGCGCAACATAATGATACCTCTTAGAAGTCCATGGCTTCCTTTTTAAGAAAGATATTTGCAAATGTAAAACATGCTTCAAAATGGCCCTTTTATAGCGCAAAATGACAGTATATACGCGATTTAATCGTTTTCTTTTGATTGCGCAAGAAATAAAGATGAGAGAGATAAACCGATGTCAAGAACAGATAGAGAAGCTCAAGCGCAACATAATGATACCTCTTAGAAGTCCATGGCTTCCTTTTTAAGAAAGATATTTGCAAATGTAAAACATGCTTCAAAATGGCCCTTTTATAGCGCAAAATGACAGTATATACGCGATTTAATCGTTTTCTTTTGATTGCGCAAGAAATAAAGATGAGAGAGATAAACCGATGTCAAGAACAGATAGAGAAGCTCAAGCGCAACATAATGATACCTCTTAGAAGTCCATGGCTTCCTTTTTAAGAAAGATATTTGCAAATGTAAAACATGCTTCAAAATGGCCCTTTTATAGCGCAAAATGACAGTATATACGCGATTTAATCGTTTTCTTTTGATTGCGCAAGAAATAAAGATGAGAGAGATAAACCGATGTCAAGAACAGATAGAGAAGCTCAAGCGCAACATAATGATACCTCTTAGAAGTCCATGGCTTCCTTTTTAAGAAAGATATTTGCAAATGTAAAACATGCTTCAAAATGGCCCTTTTATAGCGCAAAATGACAGTATATACGCGATTTAATCGTTTTCTTTTGATTGCGCAAGAAATAAAGATGAAAGAGATAAACCGATGTCAAGAACAGATAGAGAAGCTCAAGCGCAACATAATGATACCTCTTAGAAGTCCATGGCTTCCTTTTTAAGAAAGATATTTGCAAATGTAAAACATGCTTCAAAATGGCCCTTTTATAGCGCAAAATGACAGTATATACGCGATTTAATCGTTTTCTTTTGATTGCGCAAGAAATAAAGATGAGAGAGATAAACCGATGTCAAGAACAGATAGAGAAGCTCAAGCGCAACATAATGATACCTCTTAGAAGTCCATGGCTTCCTTTTTAAGAAAGATATTTGCAAATGTAAAACATGCTTCAAAATGGCCCTTTTATAGCGCAAAATGACAGTATATACGCGATTTAATCGTTTTCTTTTGATTGCGCAAGAAATAAAGATGAGAGAGATAAACCGATGTCAAGAACAGATAGAGAAGCTCAAGCGCAACATAATGATACCTCTTAGAAGTCCATGGCTTCCTTTTTAAGAAAGATATTTGCAAATGTAAAACATGCTTCAAAATGGCCCTTTTATAGCGCAAAATGACAGTATATACGCGATTTAATCGTTTTCTTTTGATTGCGCAAGAAATAAAGATGAGAGAGATAAACCGATGTCAAGAACAGATAGAGAAGCTCAAGCGCAACATAATGATACCTCTTAGAAGTCCATGGCTTCCTTTTTAAGAAAGATATTTGCAAATGTAAAACATGCTTCAAAATGGCCCTTTTATAGCGCAAAATGACAGTATATACGCGATTTAATCGTTTTCTTTTGATTGCGCAAGAAATAAAGATGAGAGAGATAAACCGATGTCAAGAACAGATAGAGAAGCTCAAGCGCAACATAATGATACCTCTTAGAAGTCCATGGCTTCCTTTTTAAGAAAGATATTTGCAAATGTAAAACATGCTTCAAAATGGCCCTTTTATAGCGCAAAATGACAGTATATACGCGATTTAATCGTTTTCTTTTGATTGCGCAAGAAATAAAGATGAGAGAGATAAACCGATGTCAAGAACAGATAGAGAAGCTCAAGCGCAACATAATGATACCTCTTAGAAGTCCATGGCTTCCTTTTTAAGAAAGATATTTGCAAATGTAAAACATGCTTCAAAATGGCCCTTTTATAGCGCAAAATGACAGTATATACGCGATTTAATCGTTTTCTTTTGATTGCGCAAGAAATAAAGATGAGAGAGATAAACCGATGTCAAGAACAGATAGAGAAGCTCAAGCGCAACATAATGATACCTCTTAGAAGTCCATGGCTTCCTTTTTAAGAAAGATATTTGCAAATGTAAAACATGCTTCAAAATGGCCCTTTTATAGCGCAAAATGACAGTATATACGCGATTTAATCGTTTTCTTTTGATTGCGCAAGAAATAAAGATGAGAGAGATAAACCGATGTCAAGAACAGATAGAGAAGCTCAAGCGCAACATAATGATACCTCTTAGAAGTCCATGGCTTCCTTTTTAAGAAAGATATTTGCAAATGTAAAACATGCTTCAAAATGGCCCTTTTATAGCGCAAAATGACAGTATATACGCGATTTAATCGTTTTCTTTTGATTGCGCAAGAAATAAAGATGAGAGAGATAAACCGATGTCAAGAACAGATAGAGAAGCTCAAGCGCAACATAATGATACCTCTTAGAAGTCCATGGCTTCCTTTTTAAGAAAGATATTTGCAAATGTAAAACATGCTTCAAAATGGCCCTTTTATAGCGCAAAATGACAGTATATACGCGATTTAATCGTTTTCTTTTGATTGCGCAAGAAATAAAGATGAGAGAGATAAACCGATGTCAAGAACAGATAGAGAAGCTCAAGCGCAACATAATGATACCTCTTAGAAGTCCATGGCTTCCTTTTTAAGAAAGATATTTGCAAATGTAAAACATGCTTCAAAATGGCCCTTTTATAGCGCAAAATGACAGTATATACGCGATTTAATCGTTTTCTTTTGATTGCGCAAGAAATAAAGATGAGAGAGATAAACCGATGTCAAGAACAGATAGAGAAGCTCAAGCGCAACATAATGATACCTCTTAGAAGTCCATGGCTTCCTTTTTAAGAAAGATATTTGCAAATGTAAAACATGCTTCAAAATGGCCCTTTTATAGCGCAAAATGACAGTATATACGCGATTTAATCGTTTTCTTTTGATTGCGCAAGAAATAAAGATGAGAGAGATAAACCGATGTCAAGAACAGATAGAGAAGCTCAAGCGCAACATAATGATACCTCTTAGAAGTCCATGGCTTCCTTTTTAAGAAAGATATTTGCAAATGTAAAACATGCTTCAAAATGGCCCTTTTATAGCGCAAAATGACAGTATATACGCGATTTAATCGTTTTCTTTTGATTGCGCAAGAAATAAAGATGAGAGAGATAAACCGATGTCAAGAACAGATAGAGAAGCTCAAGCGCAACATAATGATACCTCTTAGAAGTCCATGGCTTCCTTTTTAAGAAAGATATTTGCAAATGTAAAACATGCTTCAAAATGGCCCTTTTATAGCGCAAAATGACAGTATATACGCGATTTAATCGTTTTCTTTTGATTGCGCAAGAAATAAAGATGAGAGAGATAAACCGATGTCAAGAACAGATAGAGAAGCTCAAGCGCAACATAATGATACCTCTTAGAAGTCCATGGCTTCCTTTTTAAGAAAGATATTTGCAAATGTAAAACATGCTTCAAAATGGCCCTTTTATAGCGCAAAATGACAGTATATACGCGATTTAATCGTTTTCTTTTGATTGCGCAAGAAATAAAGATGAGAGAGATAAACCGATGTCAAGAACAGATAGAGAAGCTCAAGCGCAACATAATGATACCTCTTAGAAGTCCATGGCTTCCTTTTTAAGAAAGATATTTGCAAATGTAAAACATGCTTCAAAATGGCCCTTTTATAGCGCAAAATGACAGTATATACGCGATTTAATCGTTTTCTTTTGATTGCGCAAGAAATAAAGATGAGAGAGATAAACCGATGTCAAGAACAGATAGAGAAGCTCAAGCGCAACATAATGATACCTCTTAGAAGTCCATGGCTTCCTTTTTAAGAAAGATATTTGCAAATGTAAAACATGCTTCAAAATGGCCCTTTTATAGCGCAAAATGACAGTATATACGCGATTTAATCGTTTTCTTTTGATTGCGCAAGAAATAAAGATGAGAGAGATAAACCGATGTCAAGAACAGATAGAGAAGCTCAAGCGCAACATAATGATACCTCTTAGAAGTCCATGGCTTCCTTTTTAAGAAAGATATTTGCAAATGTAAAACATGCTTCAAAATGGCCCTTTTATAGCGCAAAATGACAGTATATACGCGATTTAATCGTTTTCTTTTGATTGCGCAAGAAATAAAGATGAGAGAGATAAACCGATGTCAAGAACAGATAGAGAAGCTCAAGCGCAACATAATGATACCTCTTAGAA